TTTTTTTTTTTTTCTTTCCCCTTCACCCCTCCTCCACCATACTCCCACCCCCGATGCTCTTTTTCACCAGAGCTTTTGTCTGCCACTGGCAGGAGAGTAAATTGTTGTTTTTACTCCCATTGAGGTTCAAATGGATCTGGCAGATTAAGCCTAGTTAATGCCCCGGGGGAGGGGGTTGCTGGAGATGAGAAAAAGAGGAGGGAAGGGGGTTGACGAAGGGGCCCATCGCCCCTTAGCGCCGTCCTGTCTGAACCGGGGCGGCCGGGAAAGCCCACCCGGGACAGCCTCCCACCTGCGGCTGCTCGGGACCGCCGTGGGCCAAGGGCCTGGATCCCTTTTGCCTTCTCTCGCCAGGCCCGGGCCGGAGGAGCGCAGGGGTGCGAGGGGAGGGGGAGGTTTTCCCCGAGAGATCCACACGGGGCAGCGGGAGGCGGGTCCGCTCCGGCCAGGGGGGCCCCGCAGCTCCGGGGAGAAGCGGCAAGGGAGGCCGGGGTGTAAGGAAAATCGGGAATAGATTTCAAGGCAGATAACCCGTAAACACGATTGCGCAAGAATTGATTTCAGTGAAAGAAAAGAAAACCTTCTTTTGATGGCTTTTTCGCAGCGGTCTGATAAAAAAGATGTTAGCAGATGTAAAAATACTTGAAATTATTTTTGTTTACTTATTTTGTTCCCCCACTTTTTTTTTTTTTAGACGACTTGCTTCTACCCTAAAGATATAATAATAAATAAAAGGTAGTCTAAGGAAAGACTTGGTCGAGAGATTCGAAAAGTTGTGAGCAGAAAAAGAAACTAGGCTCCCATCTGTAACTGGACTGTCCTGGGGAAGAAATAAATTTTTAAAAAGCCATTTTCTCTAAGAAAATCCCGTGTGCTTGAACAGGACGGTGCATCTTCCCTTTCATCAGCCGGCAAACTGCGGTCATCCGGCCCGAGCCGATGGGCATCAGGGCGCTCCGGGCTTTTCCAAGTGGCTGCGGGTTGCTGAGCCTCCGTAACTCCACGCGTGCAGTCTCTCCCGTGGGGCCGGCCGAGAGCCTGGCGGGCCGCGTGTTCCCCGCCTGGCCTCTTTCGCTGGTGGGTTCTGCTTTTCCCTTCGGCTCATCCCGCGGGAGTGCTTTCCACGGGCGCCCCCGGCGCGTCTACTGCCGGTGGGAGCCGGCAGCGTCACTTTGCCGTGGGACAGGCAGGGTGGGAACTCGTAAGGAGGTTTCAGTCCCCGGTGCGCGGTGGGTCACGCCGGAGCCTGCGGGCCCTGCCCCGCGTGGGGTCCCGTGGGCAGCCCCAGGGCTCCCCGGCCGGCGGCCGCCAGCCCCGGGCACAGGGACAGCG